AACTAACCAAATAATCACACATAATTAGAAGAGCAAAATAAATAAAATCTAATTAACAGACAAAAGCATACATTTCAGCATAAATTAATGCATCACTTATAAACCTTTAAAATAAATCTTTATATATATATATATATATACACACACACACACACACACTAATTGTTTATGTGTGTGTGTGTGTGTGTGTGTGTGTGTGTGTGTGTAAAAATACATTTTAATATTTTTAAATTATGTACATAAGTAAAATATGTATATGTAAGTATATGTAAGTTAATAATGTATGCGCATGTGCATATGTTGGTATTTGTACATATATATGTATATATAAACACTCATTTTTGTTAGTTCTATACAATTAAAAGTTGAGAATCACTGCTTTAAAAAGACACTAAACTTTTACAATTGTATTGCACCATAATCTCAGACAACATGCTACACTAAAGGAAGATGAGAACAATATCTGTCTGCAGAAACACAGGCGACTGGAAGAACCAGATTACTGCAGTATGATGAATCAGTGCATATTTTCTGCAGCGAAAACAAAACACACACTTTTACAAGGTAGAACTCCCTTTACCCTGGATGAGTCACTACTTGGCTGAAAGATTGACCCAGCCCCTGATCTTCGTCTCTCTTTTCCTATTCCACCATCATGATTGTTCGATGCTCAGTGAGTCTATCATTTCCTCGTCCCTGGCCCTTACTACTTAATGTCCTCCCATTTCTAGTAATAACAAGGTTTCTATGGGGACGAGAATTATGTCAAATGCCTCCTCCTTTTCTCTGCTTCTTTCCTTCATGAGCTTCACCAGTCTTTTACAGCCAATTAGACTCAAACTGTTTATTTTATGCAAGTAGTAAAAACTTCAGTTAAAAATAAAGAACGGAGTGAAAAATAATAATTTACTGCAATATAAGCACGTTTTTTTATCATTTGAAACATGCATCAACTTATATTCCAAAGCCACTTACATAATGCAAGTATGTAAAACGTACAAAGCGCATACATTTGCGTCGAATGAGAGAGGTACATGAGCCTAAGTTTATTTGTAAAGTGCATTTCCAACATAAATTTGCTACAGCTTGGTGTTCAAACATAAACATACATGATGATATTTTCCAACATAAATTTCTTACCAAACTATTTTATTAACTTAATGTCGAACTAAAGCACTTACTATAAAAATATAGTATATACGTAATACTTCCACCCTTCTCAATCTATTTCAATGCCAAAACCATTTCTACATCCAGTGTTTGCTAGATCCTCCCTTTCATTCTGATTTAATGTCAGTTTTGCGATAAATTTTTTAATGGAACCATTTGAAATTCACACAGGGCGGCTTTGATCCCAGATCAGTGTGGGTGGCTTCTACAGCCTTTTTTCTTCTCCCAGTGGTGTGATCAGTAATCAAGCCTCTAAAGTAGAGTTCTGGAGAAAACCAGAGGCCTCTGGAATAAAACTGCCCACTCGCGGCTGCTTCTCATGGTCGGATGCACTGATGTCTGCCATGTGTTGAGCCTAGGCCAAAGGTACTATACACTGTGCCCGGGACAACAGCCCGGTTTGACTTGAATATACTGGTAGAATGCACAATATACCAGCTTTCAATAAGTTTCCATCCTGGAAAAGTCCAAAATATGTGAGGCATCCAGGAGAAAAAAAAGCTACAAACCAAAAACAGGATGAACTTTTTATTTTAAAGCTTACTTTGCACGCCTTGTTTACCGCAACACAATAAAAGAAAATTAACCCTAGCGACAACACAGGAACATCCTGGCAACCACCCACATCACCTTTGCATCATGTTAACGCAAAAGTAAAAGTCTAATTATTTGTGTCAAATCAAACACTAAAAAAAGTTTGGAGTCTGTAGGATTTTATTTTTTTAAGTCTCTTATGCTCACCAAGGCTGCAATTATTGGATTAAAAAATACAGTAAAAACAGTAATATTGTGAAATATTATTACAATTTAGAATAACTGTTTTCTATTTGAATAGATTTTAAAATATAATTTATTCGTGTGATGCAAAGCTGAATTTTCAGCATCATTACTCCAGTCTTCAGTGTCACATGATCCTTCAGGAATCATTCTAATATATTGATTTGCTGCTCAAGAAACATTTGAACTAGGGCTGCACGATAAATCGCATGCGATATTTAACGCGCATCTTATCAGTAAAGCTGGTTCTGTAATCAGCGGTAAATCTCCATCGCGTGCGTGTTTTCACATTGAGCAGCATTAACTACACAGAGCCGTTGTTCACAGGCGAGCTGCGCAAAACCACGTTCATATTCGTGCGATTTTTTGCGCAGCTCGTCTGTGAACAACGGCTCTGTGTAGTTAATACTGCTCAATGTGAAAGCCCGCACGTGATGGAGATTTACCGCTGATTACAGAACCGGCTTTCTGACAAGATGCGCGTTAAATATCGCATGCGATTTATCGTGCAGCCCTAATTTGAACTTATTTTCTGTGAATTTTTTCAGCATTCTTTGATGAATAGAACGTTCAAAAGAACAGCATTTATTTGAAATTGAAACCTTTTGTAATTATTTTTAAAATTTTGTAATTTCTTTTTTTTTTAAAAACCTACGGACCCCAAACTTTTGAACAGTAGTATATTGTTCTATAAAACATTTAAAGCTTTATTTCTGTGCACAACAATCCATTTATTCCAAGACATCATTAAAAATATGCATCAGCACTGAATCTGTCTGTAGAACATAAAGATAAAAATGCTTTCAAAAGCATTTTCTCAGAATAAGCATAAAGCAGAGTGCAAGAGATTGCTAATTCACTTTGCAAAGTGGTGTTCAGAAAAACACCTCACATAGATGACTGAATTTAGCCGAACTAAAAACCTGAGCTGTGCACGTCTGGCGTGTAAAAGCGCACTGAACTGTGGTTCAGAAGAGATGGAATTTCCTCAATGGAGACAGGCCAGAACAAAATAACACGCTGAAAGAGCAGAATTAGCATCAAAGGTGTGAGGGTAGGGTTTGACTTCCGTTTGACTCGTTTCGCAATCTAGCGAGAAAGATCTACTTAGAGCATTAGTGGAAAAACCAGTGGACACAAAGCTGAGTTCCTGATTAAAATAACTTGAAACTATTGTTATTCTGTTTGTGAAACCAGACGCCAACCAAGATTGTTGTGATTGAACCAAGATTGTCACCCACAGAAGCTTCCCGTTCAACCAAATGTTAGGAAACTGAACAAATTTTAACACAAACGTAATACAAGCACACAAACCAACACTGCCACCCTTTCTAACCCACAAGTCACCTGTCAAATGCACCATCCAAATAGCTGTTACATTACATAATAAGCACCATAATCCATCCGACAGGCTCATAGCACACCGAAATACATAGCATCTGGATCAAAGGTGACCTCATCCACTGGACGTAGGTAAACCTCTTTCACCGTTGGCCTACTTTCACATCAATCCAATTTCAGTCTAACAAAGTGCTCAAAACCCAGGCTAAAACTGATGGACTGAACTGCCAGAGTTCAAATGTGTCTCAAAGTTGTACTACTAAGTCTGAACCATCTCCTGTCCTGCACAAATTAACTTTGAGACGTTTCTGTAGGCAAGATTACCAAGCCAGATTTGCACAACCCAGATGTAAGCAGCGGCCGAACTGCATGAACTGCAATGGAGTCTTGAAACAAAAGATCCATTGAGCTCGGAGCAGAGGATGAAACAAACCTTCGGACCACCACACAAAAGAAAACAAGAACTCATATTGGCCCCTATAACTATAGCTGGATGAATCAGACACCCTCAGTGTCAGGAACATTCCTCTGTGCAAGAAGCTTCTCTTTTACGGCTAATTCTGTGAACTGCAAACCACACGGTGCAATTTCATAAGAACTGCTCATGTTTAGACTTGAAAGAGACAGTTCCTCCTGCCATTAGATCAGGAGTGGCATCGTGAGATATAAACAGACTAAAAATGACAAGTTTTAGCTCTCAAATGACAGCTTTGGTGAGCTGAAGTGGATCTGAGGATGAGAGGTTTCTCAAACTGATGATGTGCTCATTAGGATATAAAAAGCTGAGTACAACCTTCTAACCCTAACAAAAAGTACTGCAGCGGTACCATAGTTTGGTAATGGTCTGCATTGATAATAATTTTGATCTAAATTCAGCTTTCCCACACTTTTTACATTACTTTCAGGTCATTTGTGATTACCGGATTTTATACAATTATTTTATTGAGATTGGGATTTCTATATCAGGTAATAATCCACTGAATAATCCAATGAAATACTAAAGAGCAGCACAAAACTAGGCCTGGACATCACAATATTAAAATTCTCAATTTCATTACCATATTCACGTACCTTGGTGTTTACATGTACAATAGTCGTTAAATTAGTATTTTATACTGTTTTTTATTGAACTTTACTGTTAGTTAGAATCTTCTGTGGTAAGAACACGTTCTTTTTTAACTTTTATACTTCAAAATTCCCCTTTAAATATTGACCTGCAATGTGATGATGTGGTGGCCAAGCTACAAAAAGAAGCCAAAACAGCTACATGTCATTAATAATTCTACCAAATAAACACACAAAAGTCGTTCGTTTCAATATTACTGACTAAAATTATATGTTAAATGCACAAAACTATCCCTCAAGTGGACCGATGGCCTCCATCAGACACAAGTAAAACACCTGCGGTTACTTCCAACTCGCTCCACCATCCAACACTACAACATTTGACACATTTTGTATTTTTGGCGCTCGCATTTTACATCCATAACGCCTATCTTTGAATTTTCTGTAGACTGTGATGATAAAACTCAAATAAAGTTCGAATAAAATTCGCATTTTTGCTGGAATACAAACATAAAACTCTCCTAATCCAAAGCCTGGCGCCTCATGGCCATCGCAAAGCTCCTTGCTCGGTTTATAGACCAATATAAACGCTGGTAAAGCAGTAGCATCAAACTCAAGAAATCATTGATGTAAAAACATAAACTCACCTCCTAAATAAGTGGCCTATAACTTCAAACTTCGCTCCAACTACCAGCCAGTGCGCAAACAAGAGTCCAGCATCACATCCACCAGCAAACCTGAAATGGAAACCAGCCCGGGTCGAACTGGCAACAGGTTTTACTTCATAAGAACTACTTCGACCGTAAGGTCCATCATCTCCATTAAAGAAATTTTTTAACCCGCACTCCTTGGGTTCTCCTTAAATTCTAATGCGTAAAAACTTGCAGACTGCGCGTAAGACAGGATCTTTGACGCAGCTGAAAATAGGCAGCGCGTTTTCGGTTCCGTTGGGAAGCCGAGACACCCTTCCAACCCGAGAGGTTCAGATCTCTCTCTCCGTCTGTGAGACCTCCTGCTCGCTGGAGAGAGGGAGTAACCAGACACCCGCACTCCTGCCGCTCATTGGTTACTTTCCACCGGAGCAGGAACCGTCACACCAGCAACATGAGGCGTCTCTATAGAAACTCTCCTCAACTGGGAGGAACTATAACTTAATGGATATAACTATATAGATATATTTTTTTAAAACGAATAAATTATATTGACAAAAACACAACAAAATGACTAAAAATATTTGAAAAAAATTGAAAACTGAAAATCTAAAAATAAAATCTATTTCAAATACTGACAAAAGCTACAACAGTGCATCAACGATTGTAAAATCTAAAATTACAGGATTATTTAATGATATTAATTTTGAAAGTCTGAGCATGATGATGTTTGGCCTTTGATAAATCTTAACCAGTACAAATGCATAAAGGTCACCTAAATAACAAAAATGCAATTTTTCTTAATTCGTTTAGCTGTCATTTTGGATTTTTTTTTTTTTTTTTTAGTTACAAAATATTGTGAAAAAAAATAAAATCCTGTATCATCATTAAATCGTATCATTAAATAATGTACCACCCATTAAGAGTGAGCAGGTTTTGTTTGAGAGTTCATGCTGTTACACCTTAAAGTGTTTTGTTCTGCTTGAAATTCTGTTCTGGGGTCAGTCATGCTTGCCATGTGTTGCCTGAGAGCTACTGAGGAATGAGAGTTTAGTACTCCAACCACAGAATTCCACTTCCAGCCCTCCAGCCCTCCTCCCATCCCCTCCCCTTCACGCTCCCTTCCCTCACCCTGTGCTGTTATTGACCCTGAAAGTCCATCTTTAAACTTGAGCAGAGCTTCCTACTTCACCTGAGGCAGCAGGGATCCCCATACATGCCTGCATGTGACCCCTGCAAGAGGTTATGCTGTTGCAAACATATTGCTTTGATTTATTTTACTTTAATGCATTAATTAAAACATATGCAGCTCTTAAATGGGGTCTGCAGATACCAAGAGTCATGAAAATGTCTTTTTGAACGGACAAGGGCATAATGATGTTCGTTTTTGTAGGAAAGAAAGGGTGTGTGTGTGTGTGTGTGTGTGTGTGTGTGTTTGTGTGTGCAAGAGAAACAGTGAGTTAGCACTGCTAACAGCTCATATGACTAACAGGGGGAAAACGGCATTTCAGGCCACAAATAGCAGGGTACGGATGAGCCAAATGTCACTCCGAGGTACTGTGCTACAGCACTAACATTTTCTTCCAACAAAACAGAATCCAGAGAGATGCATAACGAGTGCTATTTTAAAACAGACCACTAGATTTTTGTCCGGAGCAGGAACCGTCACACCAGCAACATGAGGCGTCTCTATAGAAACTCTCCTCAACTGGGAGGAAAATACCACGAAAAGTTGTTACAGTGAGGCGCAGTCCACGGTGGCCGCGGCATCCAGATATGTAACGCAACAAAAACAAAACATCTGAAGAAGAAATGCGCATGTTGCGTTCAGGTTTTCATTTTCCTTACCCCTTCAGCTTTTAAATATGGCGCAATCTCATTAAATACCCACATATTTGCATATTAAGCGATAAGGCCAAATGTTACCACGCACACAGATACCAACAAATCTGTTGAGAATGTGATTTAATTAAAAATAAATTAGGAAATAAATGCACAATTTTAATCATTTCAACTTTAAATATACATATGATACAGACTCTTCAGAAAATTGCACATTATATGATCAGCAGTTCAGTTGTTATCTAAATGCTTTTGTCAAAAGGTATATTTAATTCTAAAATCAGATATGTTTAAATACAGCACTTTTGTATATGTAAACAAACATGTTATTTTTTTACTATTTTAGCCTATAACACGTGTATATGTGTAATATATATATATATATATATATATCTGGGGTCAGTCATGCTTGCCATGTGTTGCCTGAGAGCTACTGAGGAATGAGAGTTTAGTACTCCAACCACAGAATTCCACTTCCAGCCCTCCAGCCCTCCTCCCATCCCCTCCCCTTCACGCTCCCTTCCCTCACCCTGTGCTGTTATTGACCCTGAAAGTCCATCTTTAAACTTGAGCAGAGCTTCCTACTTCACCTGAGGCAGCAGGGATCCCCATACATGCCTGCATGTGACCCCTGCAAGAGGTTATGCTGTTGCAAACATATTGCTTTGATTTATTTTACTTTAATGCATTAATTAAAACATATGCAGCTCTTAAATGGGGTCTGCAGATACCAAGAGTCATGAAAATGTCTTTTTGAACGGACAAGGGCATAATGATGTTCGTTTTTGTAGGAAAGAAAGGGTGTGTGTGTGTGTGTGTGTGTGTGTGTGTGTTTGTGTGTGCAAGAGAAACAGTGAGTTAGCACTGCTAACAGCTCATATGACTAACAGGGGGAAAACGGCATTTCAGGCCACAAATAGCAGGGTACGGATGAGCCAAATGTCACTCCGAGGTACTGTGCTACAGCACTAACATTTTCTTCCAACAAAACAGAATCCAGAGAGATGCATAACGAGTGCTATTTTAAAACAGACCACTAGATTTTTGTTTTCTGGCCTGATGTGCCCACCTCCAAAAAGTGGGGCAAAAGGAAAAAGGAGGTGGAGGTTAGACTGAACACGAGGGCCCTGAAGAGCAGGATTATGAAGAATTATGAGGAATATGGGACAGGATGTGCATGGAATTGCAATACAACAGTGCAACATTGTGTTAAAATGTCATTAATATTTATAGAAAAATGTTAATGATATATAAAGCTTTCAGGATCTGTCATGATAACCAGGAATGTTAAGCAGTGTCATGCTTCTGGGGAAGCAAGATGTTAGCGTGATTTTTATTTTATTTTATTTTTTAATGAAGTTTTTCCTAAATGGCGTTTTTGTTGAACAATAAAGATAAGAAATAAGTCTCTTCTTCACTTCAATTCACATGTTTTCTGTCACTATTGGACGTCTTTGCTCTCAAACGCCGAAACGAATGTTTATACAACGCTCAGTGTTTCCGTGACTGACCAAAGCACATGTTTGTCGGTTCCTAAGCATCTAACAGTAACATACTAACATCGCATCGTTTTACACTGTACAAGTTTGACACCGCAACAGTGCAAAACCATAACCCCGGGTAAAAAAGCAGTGTTAACCCCACTTCTAAATTACAATTATGAAACATACCTTTACACAGGGTTAAAAGAGGGGTTCAGAACGACAATAAGCTGGGGTTAAACACAATGTGTAAAGCCCTTTTCGGAACCAAGGCCACTGAGAGAAAGACTCTTTCTTCTACAAATTAACAGCTTCCCTCATTATCTCGTTGGAGGCCTTTAACATTGAGAGAATGTGATATTCCTTGTCTGTTTGGATTTTAGTTGTTTATGATGCCTGCAAATGTTCCACCATGACTTAACTGTGAGTGACAGCAGGCTTTCTCTATCCAGGGCTTTGGAGGTTTGTACCTACAGGGCATAGCAGCACAGAGCACTCCTGGCTCCAGACCAGGCCATTAAAACCTCTGTGGGGATGCCGGAAAGGAAAAGGGGAGGAGGGGGAGACAGACTAGATTGGTTGGTTTGGTAATTACTTGCCCTGGTTTTGCAAATATGCTTCCTCTTGCACTTTTGTTACACCTCTGAGGGCCCTGAGTAAAACAGCTTGTCCAAGAATTATATAAATAAATGCTTTTCGTTTCTTACTACAAAGACCATAAGTACGATAGCAACTAAATGTTGTTATTTTGCTCCCTAAAGGCTCAGTTGAAATGCAGAAGCTAAATACAGTTTAATCTATCTGATCGCATATATCTGATTCATACTGTATGCATACTTTACATAAGAAGCCGAACTCCAAGTTTAAAGTCCACATTCATGCAGCAGCTAGCAGACCAAGCATAAGCCACTGATTGTCTTCGAGTATATGGTTTAGTTTAATAAAAATTGACCCTGATGGGTACCCTGATGGTACCCTTAAAATTACATTTATTGTTGCAACGGTAACATTAAAAAATATTTTTTATGAATTTTTATTTTTGAGTAAAATTAGTTAATTCTAATGACATGAAGCATATATTCTTAGGTTACCTGAGACTTTCAATGAATTATTTTTTTTATAAAATATACAATTGTATATTCTTAAATTCTTTATATATATATATATATATATATATATAAATAATTAAAAATATATTAAAATGGAAAAAAGTTATAATATTTGGATCAAATCAATCAAGCCTTGCTGAGCACAAGAGACTTCTTTGAAAAACATTTAAAAATCTTACAGACCCCAAACTTTTGAACGGTGGCCATCTGGTTTAGTCATGTTGCAATAACTAGTCCAACAGATGTAATCAAATGCTGCACAAACTGTAAAATATACAGTATAAAGCATGAGGTAATTATGAAACAATCTAATATATTCATATATAAAACAGTGATCCAGATTCCAGATGTACCTGTATATGTAAACAGCAACTTTACAACTCTGAAAGTAGTTATTCTATTCAGAGGTAGAGTAATAAAAAAAAAAACATTTGTATATTTCCATGTCTGGACCATGTGCTGGTCATCATCAGCAAGCATTACACTGATGATGATTGATGGAAGTATGTTCAGTATATTTTATGGAGCTCTGCACAGTAGTAACACTATTTTGTCACAGCTGCCTAAATAAATGATTTTTTTACTAACAACATATGCATATTTTAGTTATTTAGTTATTTAGAGAAAATTCCCCTCCTAAAAGATAAATTGCGAAACATAAGAGTCAAAGATTATCTTATCAACATCACTCAGCGCTTGAAAGTTGGTTTTCAATAGCTAGAGGTCAATTCTCAGTTTGTCAGGAAGTAATTCAGCTTTCATGGCTTCCTTCCACTGAGCGTTCTGTTGATTTTCCATTTATAATGCAAGACTCGCCCCCTAGTGGAATTATAGTGTCATTATAAAAAGTCATTGCTCTTTGCGTGGGAGTACAGGTCATTTATAAGAGTTTTAATGTGTTGTTTATAACAAATCATATCATATTCACTTATGCTCGAATATGAATTTCAGTTTGT